GGCAAAGGAAGCAAGAAAGGATGATCACCAGGCTTGAAAATGTATTCCTCTCAGAAGCTTGCACAGCCTGCCTATTCCCAGTCTCTACTATGAAATATCTTTTCCAAGGTTAGCAGAATTATGAAAACATCAATTTGGCCATTATTGACTTTTCAGCCAGGATACCAAGAAAGTCTTTCAGCAGCCTCAATAAATTAAATCTAGCCACCTAGCTCCCAGACTGGCAGGCTCCTACATCATTGACAGGGAAGACAGGGGAAAGCAGTTTTCCCAGCTGTTGCAGTAAATGATGTGCATTGTGCTCACAGCCATTAGCAGGTGGAGAATTTGAAGTGTGGGTAGATTGCAGAGCTCCCTCTTTTAAAAATGCATAAGCACTCTGTGAGTTTGCTAAGTCATGTTTCACGCGGCTCAGTTTGAATTTTTCATAGGGGAGAAATATTCTGTAGTCTTTCCTCTTTCATTCCTCCTTTATCAGTAAGGACTTCTGCCATTAGGGCTATAGTCGAAAGGGGCCGTGTACAGTCGTACAGTTCGCTTGATTGGTCCTCAATATTTCCAAGTTGTACAATGTTGGAAGATTTGAGCTTTAAGGACTTAGGCCAGTTGAGGGTCCTGCTCCTCCCCAGTTAATCCAAACTACAAATTACTCCCAGCTCTGGGTTTAAATTTATTTTATGTGTCTTCAAGTCAATTTTTATCTCAGAAGATGCATCCATTTGTGAAATTCTAAGCCCTGCATGGTAAAGGAAACTTCTTTCCGAAAGTCTCCCTGGTCACGTACTGTGTTGTGTACTTGTGGTCACGGTCCACTCCCACACCAACAACAGACATTACTAAATGTCATTATACATTTTCTTGATGAGTCCAGTCTCAGAATTCGTGTCCTTCCTCACATGATGTTCCAGCCAGGCGTAACAATTGGTTGTATAGCCTATCGGTGGGAACCTACTAATCTTATCTAACAGGCTCCTGATTTGTTTTGTTTATGTAGGTTAGCGTCTGGCTTTTAGTAGAGCACTTATGTACAGATGAAAGCAATACTTCTTGGGTGCAGCCTGCCAGCCATGAAGCACCTTCATGTTAATTGTCTCATTTTCCTAAAGCCTCTCTGAGGGAGATACTATTATTGGCCTTATTTTATTTTATTTTGTTTTTTTTATATAGAGAAGCAGCACTCAAGCACGTGCACGAGCATGGGAGAGGGGTAAAGGGAGAGGGAGAAAGAGAATCTTAAGGAGGCTCCATGCCCACACGGAGTCCAATGTAGGGCTGGATCTCACAACCCTGAGATCATGGCCTGAGCTGAAATGAAGAGTCAGACACTTAACTGACTGAGCCAGACAGGTGCCTCTTGTCTTATTTTTTACATGAGGAAATTGAGGCTCATAGAGGTGAAGTAATTTATCCAAACTGACAAGTTGTGGGGCTTATTCTGGAGCCTACAAGCTGTGCCCTGTTAGGATCTTAATGCAATTCAGCATATGTGTTTGGGCTCATTCATTCATTCATCAAACATTTTTTACCAAACCTCTATTCTGTGCTGGGCACCACAAATGGTAGAATATCCAACAAATTCAGCAATGGTTTATTTAAAAATAAAGAGTGCGGTTGTGCTGTTTGACCATTAACCAGTTAATAAACCCCTCGAAAAACAATTTTTTTTTTTTGCTTTTTTAGTATCAATAAATCAGACTTTTCTTAGGATGAAATGGTTTTCTCCCTGTATCTGGCTAATCAGTTGTAACCTATTTTCTCTTCAAATGGAGAGAAATGTTCCAGCCTCTATAGGAAGCTCAGCAGATTGGGAGCAAAAGTATGTTATGATTTTAAGTACCAAGGCATTTATGAGATCGTAATTGGCTATAATTGAGGGGATTCTAGAACACCTTGAGTTACAGAAAGATTGACCTTTTGCAGATCCTTCCACGTCTGCCAGGACTGCTGAGCACATGTCAGTGGGACTTTAAGAGCGGCTGTGTCCAGTCCCCACACACATCACTTCTCTCTTCTGGTTGAAAACCTCTGCTCTGTTTAAGTTCTTGGGAAGCGGGTAATCGGAGAGACAATGCTTCCAAAAAAAGAAACAGAGTGGTGTCTGTCTTCTTACATTTGAGTATCTTTCACATTTCATGATGACTCTTCACACAGTATCTCCAGCTGGATTAATACCATTCTCTTCCTTGATTCTGACCTAATATACAGACTTCATAAGCCTTCTTATGAATTATCTTGCCAAAAACGTTAAAACATTCAAATGTTCTCATAAAATATTGAAACACGTGGTAGTATAATGGGCTCCACTAAAATTAAGTTGTTCAATTTCCCTTTAATAGTGATAGCGCCTGGAAGAGGTGGAAAGTAATATTTCTATTTGCCCGGAAGCTGGAGAATCCCAGCTGACATTGGAATCCAGGATCAGCCCAGTGGTTAGGGAGGATTCCGCATCTATCCCAGGTTCCTGGCTTGGACGTGCAGTGAGTGTTGTGTACGTTTTTCTGCAGAAACACACGGCGCTCTGTCCCGTGATGGTGTTTGTGTTACTAAACTGACTTTTAGGAAAGCCCCGGGTGTCCCTCCAAGTACCTCCAAGGGAAGGTAACTCTTAGGGAGAAGAGCACAGGACAGGCTTGCACTTCTACTTGTTCAGCAGGGTTTATGGCCAAAATTTTTTGTCATTTCATTGTGAGATAATGGGCAGGCATATCTCAGCACATATTTCTTCTTTTTCTCCTTTCTATCTGTCTCTTCTTTCCTCTCCTTCCTTTTTCTTAAGATTTAGGTCACTTTCTGCACTTTTCTCAAAAAGGATCAAACTGGATCAGCTCTGGCCTGATATGATTACTTTTTTTTTTGGCCCAGTGCATTTGAGCCATTTCTCCATCAAGTCATATTAGTATAGGGATGGCTGGGTTTGGAGAGGTAGAGGCAGATTCTGCCTTCAGAAGGAGAGAAATGATACCCTCAGAATCTGAGCTGGCAGACAAAACATTTTCTCTTGCTGATATTTTCAGTCACCAGCTGGTACATGTTGAGCATTTTCCCTGTTGCATGGAAGATATTTATTGGTAATAGCCTGGGAGAAGTAGAACATTATTGCTGTGGTGATTCCTTTTGGCTAATTGGATTGTTGCGTTTCATTTAATGGGTGTATAAATACAATGATTACAGTCACATTTTAAAAAGTGGTCTGAAAGAGTGGGTATACTTTAGAGATAATTGTGGAGTTGGGAGTTGCGATTCACAGGGACTCTTTTTTTTTCCCCCCTCTGGAAAATGTTTAAGATAAGTGTCTATAAATATTTAAATTACTTAGATATGTAGATGACAGGCCTTTTACAAGAAGACAGGACATAACTTTGCAAATAGTTTCTTTTTCCCTTTTAGGTTTCCTCTACCTTGACCATATTAGAAATGGCACTAAAGTGGGATCTTATTATAATATGATTCATTATTTATGAGAATAAGATATAGCACAAATCAAAACTGGGTCTCCTTTTAAATACATAAAGATACTACATTATCCTTGTCCTCAATATTAGCATCATAAAGGGGACTCATTTCCCTTTATTTTTTATGGCTTAAATGCAGTGAGCTATATGAAATGCCCAGCATATAATATATGATGAGTAGATAGTATCAAGTTCATGACTCTAAGAAGACTGTTCGGAGCATAGAAGGCTGGGGGCAGTGACTTATGTTTAGGAACTTGCTTTGTTCCCTAACTGTAGATTTTCTAGTTCAGAGAGTCACCAACCACGTATCTGAAAAATGAGTCTGTCTCCAAACAGCTGAATGCAATGCTATGAGTCAAGACTGAGGGGAATAGGAAGAGAGGAACTCACATTGGCTTAAATATAATACAATGGTTCATAGAGCTTAAAAGCCTACTGACAGTACCAGCTTCAGGTGTGGCTAGATCCAGGACTTAAAAGTGACTGTTAGGATACAGCCTTTTATTGAATTTCTACACTGTACTCCGAGCTATTTGCTGGGGTTACAACAATAGACACTAGCTGTGCCCACTTCAGGGAGCTCATGGTGAATAGCTGAAATGCATAAAGTAAAAAAGAATTATAACAAAATGTAATATGTGCAATAATAGAGGCACTTTGAAAACAAAACCATAATTCAGAGAAAAAAGTGATAAATATTTCTGAGGAGAGGTGAGCAAGGACTTCAGAGAGAAGTTAAACCCTGAACATTGTTTTTTAAAGAAACGCAGGAATTTTTACAGTCAAGCAAATTCAAGAAGAATGATTAATTGCTTTGGTTATGGTATTTGGGAAATTTACATTCAAATCTCAGCTCTGCCACTTGCAAAATGTACAGACTAGGGTAAGTTTCTTAAATTCTCAGGGTCTGTCTCAGTTTCCTTGTATGGGAACTAGGAGTGGGGCTGCTGAGCTCATAGAATTATCACACGGCTCCCATGAGTTGATGGCTGTGCAGAACTCACCTGGGGGCTGCCACAAAGGAAGCCCTCCCTGACCCTTCCCCTCTTGTACCTGATTACAGTAACGTGGAGCTTTGGATCCGGGTTTAACGTCAGCCACAGTAAAATCAGGTAGCATTTACGGAGGGTAAATATCATGCACTGCATTAAGCATTTCACTTGATTTATTTAAATCCTCCCTACAAACTCAAGGTAGTAGGAGGGTGATTATACTCACCTTCCCAGTGAGGAAACTGAAGCTTTGAGAATGGAAGGGGACTGCCAGGGTGACAAGATTAGTGGGTGGTGCAGCTGAGCCATTGGTCACAATGCCTGTGGACAGAAGCGTGATACCATCCTTCCTTTTGTGCAGTAGACCACTAACTTCCTTCCATCAGCAGATTTGGCTTTTGGGTAGTCATGCTGTAGCCCGGCCTGTGTGGCCTCCTGCTTTTTCTGAAGACGTGGCTGTGGACGCTTGGGTGCGTGTGTGTTCAGGTGCTGTGCTGCTCCTCCAGACTGAGGTGGCTGGCATTAACCCCTTGGGTGCTGTGCTTCCTTGCAGGTGAGCCTTCCAGGTGGTCATCCTCACACTGCCACTGCTGCTGCAAGAGCACCGCAGGCGACAAAGAAGGGGAGAGTGGCACGTCTTGCAACGACCTCTCCACCTCTAGCTGCGACAGCCAGTCTGAGGCCAGCTCTCCGCAGGAGACGGTCATCTGTGGGCCCGTGACACGCCAGACCAACATCCAGACTCTGGACCGTCCCATCAAGAAGGGCCCCGTGCAGCTGATCCAGCAGTCGGAGATGCGGCGGAAAAGCGATCTGCTCCGGACTCTGACTTCGGGCTCCAGGGAGTCGAACATGAGCAGCAAAAAAAAAGCTGTTAAGGAAAAGCTCTCCATTGAGGAAGAGCTGGAGAAATGCATCCAGGATTTCCTTAAGATCAAAATCCCAGATCGGTTCCCCGAGAGAAAACATCCTTGGCAGTCTGAACTTTTACGGAAGTATCATCTATAGGGGAGGGGCGGGGGGCGGGGCAATGGGAGAAGAAAGAAATCATGTCACCATTTGGAAATAAACCTCCTAGCGAAATTCACATTTGAAAGAAAAGTAACAACTAACAATACGTTTGTGAGAACACAGTAGCCCATCGATACACTACTGCCTATTTACCTAGTTCACCTTAACATTTAAATCCACAGGGTAGATCTCTTTCCAGATGTGGAATTATAAGAAAATCTCTTTTTGGTTACTTGTTTGTTTGTTCACTGGGTCCCGTGTGCTGAGCATCTTACGTATAAGGAGAGCCAGCTACAGAGGAGTAGCTGAGAGGCCTTGGGAGTCCTCTCTCCCCAACTGGGTTTTTCTCTCATCTTCTCCCTCCCTCCTTTGAATGAGAGCATGGTAGAAAGAGATCTGGCCCAATGGCATAGGTTCGGGTTTTTTTAATTTTCCTTTTCCTTTTTGTTTATGGGTTGGGGGGGAATGGCAGATTTATATGACTTTTCACTCAAATCTATTATGTGCCAGTTTATATTGACGACATACGCATGAGTATTTGTGCAAACACAAGCACAACGATGTATGTACATACACACAGTGCACATGTCCCCAGGGCCGGGGCGTCCTAAGGGGATCACCCCTGCTCCCAGCAGCAACCTCTTAGACTCCTTCAGACAGAGGAGTCTCAGCTCCTTTCTTAAAACCCTTCTGGGAAGATTTCCCAGCCTCTTTTGGCAACACTTTCTACCATCAGGTAACCCTCATCATCAACAAATTGTCTTCCTTATTTTGAAATGAACACCCTCAGGCTCCATAGTACGGTTTTGCTCTTTCTCTGCACTAGGAGAGGGTGAGAAGAGCTAGTAAAACATTCTTTGTATTAAAGAAACAAACATTCCTAGCCGTGGAAATTCTCCCTGACCCCACACTCAGCCTTCCCTACCCTGAGCTGAGTTACCTTCCTTCTCTCAATGTTTTCAGAGTCCTTCCTGCCCACGTTTTAATGGCCTGGGCTTTTCATGTAATCTGCCTTCAGTTCTCTGCGTCCCTATATGGCTGTGGAAGTAAGAACAACACACAGGACTTGAATAGGGGTCCAGCCTTTTGTTTTGTTTCTTTAAGAAGCACTTGTATTCCACACTCTACCTGATTTCTCATGGCCTTTTCAAACTACAGTGCTACATTGTTACTTCCTGGTAGCTGGTCTTGTCTTTAGTATTCTGGGATTTGGCTGTGTCTGTACTATGATGTGGCTGTCATTTCCTTGATATGAATGCACAACCCATCTGGATAACTAGAGCTTGAAAATGAAGGTTTTGGCTTTCTAAGCTATCTTTCTTGAGTCCATCTTTGGCCTGTAGAGACACAGCCAAAAAGAAACTGTTAATAGCCATCTATCCATATGGTTCTGTATTCCATACATGTACTAATAGGTCTTTCATAGGCTTGAGGTAAATGAGGATGAAAAGACCAGTTTTTATTTTCAGCATTCCTTATGCATTTCAGTGGGAACTTAAACAATAATTTGTCAATCATTGTTTGTGTGCCAAGCACTCCTATTTTTATTTTTTATTGTGTGTGTGTGTATGTGTATATGTATCACAGGTAATAAAGGCAACTGGATGACGTCTGTAGGAGGGAAAAGTAATGACCACTCGCTTCCTTTTGAAATATTTTGTTGATGCACATTTATTATGTAAGAGGTTCTCTCTTGATTCCTGTTACTAGTGCCTATTTAGTATATGGATATCTTTCTGAATTTTTGTAATTCTTGCCCTCACCTCTGGGCGACAAACGCAGCCAATGTTTTCCTGTCCTGAGGTTCAAATGGAATTTAAAGGTCTACTTAAGTGAAAAAGAAAGTTCACCTGGGGAGTTGAGTTGTTAAGAGATTTACCATTAATGAATTTAAGTGGTGTCCGTTTATGTATTAGTATATTAGCAGGCATTTGTTTGTAACTACAACATAGTTTTGTAAAGCCTACCAATATGTCTTGTTTCCTTTCAAAGTTCCTTAATACCATACCCAAATACCATCATCCCAATGATAGCAATCCTGCAAAGAATCACAGAATTGAATGGGTCAAGAAGAAATTGAATACAGATAAAATATCCCCAAACTCACTTAGTTCGGATGATTCCTGTGGCCCTGTTGGAATTTGCCATCTACATTAACTGCCCAAGGTTCCAGCTTCCTTAAATTTCAGGCCTGACTATAATGGTGTCAAGACAGAGATGCACTAGTAAGAACTGAAGGAGGAGGAAGATGTCAGTCCACCCCACTGCTTCTACCGCCCGCTTTCCATAGGAAACCCAACACTGCAAAGAAAATGTTCATGGCGTACGTCCCTGACCCTTGACCCGTCGTAAATTTTTCTCTCCATAGGCAATCCTTAGACCTCCCCAGTGATCGAAACTGGTGGTAGGAAATCTGATTAAAACAATAATAACAGTTTTAATCTGGGTCAGCTCTAAACTGACACCTACCCGAAGTAGTCCAAATAGCTAAGACAACTGTGGGTGTTGATTATGGAGATGAATATAGACCTGATCAGGAAATCTCTGAGGAGCCACCAAGTCCGTGGGAAGCTTCTGTCCTTGTTTGAGTGCAGTCATCCCCTGAGGAAAGTGTGGCCGGCCACAATGGAAATGAGCTCTGAGTAAGTGAGTTACACGATTAAACGTTCGGTTACCCCCGATTCATGCCAGTTTCCCAGAGCTTAGAATAGCTTTAGGAACTTGTAGTTCACTTCTGGACAGAACGATATATGTGGTTCACTTCTTAAATACTGGTTATGATGAGGGCCATAATTTGCTGATATGAAGAAACTAAGAACATCCAATGGATCAAATGAATGAGGAATCATATGTATAGAACCCCAACTTAGATTGCAGTGCTAAAATCCAGTGAGGTTGGGGATGTCACTCTCTACAGGTCCATGGATCTCCTGAAGTCAGAAACACATTTATGAAGTCCTCCTACCCATTATCAAAAAGGAAGTGACTTATGTTTAGTAGGAAAGGGGGGAGACAGGAAAATAAAACTGTGAGATCACTGTGGTGTTGTGATCTCCCTCCCCCTGCTGAGAAAAAATTGCACTGACATGTGGTCATAAAACAACAAAGTGAGGTGGCTTCCAGAATATGCTGTGGTGTAATCCTTTGTGATTGTAGGCAGTTATCTTACTGGACATGCATGCCTGGTTAATTAAAATAAAAGGGGAACAACGCACAAATCATGTGTTCCCTTCGCCCTTTATTCCTCCTTAGCCATGTCTACCCTCAACTGATTCACTTAGGGAGACACATTTATTAGAAGGAAACTAATGGACCTTTTCATTTTTCAGTTGCCCTTGTTTGATTCAAAGGCACCTTTATTCCTAGGCACAGATGTGTGTTCTTCATCGTGGGCTCTCTTAGTTGTCAACAGCTTGTGCTTCTGCATTACTTTTGCTTCTCTAGGCTTTAGATTCCCCTCTGATTATCCTTTGTGGCTGCCACAGGCAAAACACCCTCCAGTGAGAAGAAGAAAAGGCATATATGGTGTTTGGCAAAATTTCCTGACACCAGCTCCCATAATGGGAGCCACACGTAGATTCTCAGACGTTTTCCTTCGTTATAGTTGTAACCTTCCAACTTTGTATGTACCGTGACGAATTAACCCAGCGCATTTGAGTGCTGGTATTTTCTGCCACTAGATACCATGCTGTGGAATTTGACTAACCTTGGTCTTCTAGATGATCTTTGCTAGAATGAATGGGAGTCTTTCTGTGAACTTTTAGGGAGAATTCTTTGTCACCTCCACTTGACATAGCAATTTTCAAAGGAAAAATGAAGAGAGTCATTTTTTCCCCCTGGTGACTCTGTAGCAGATAAATGCTTTTGCCAATTTGCATGCTGGGTTGTAGGTTTAGCATGGGCCATTTCTCTCCTTAATGTCTTGGCATTGTTGGCATCTTGCAAGCTTGATGGCCCACTGTTCCAATTTATTTATTTTCTTTTATTTGTCAAATAACACACTAGAGAAGGAATCTGAGTGAGTATTCTGTATTCTGAGTTAAAATGGAGTTAGATGTCATTTGTACAGGACTGTACAGTGATTAATATCTGCAGAGAAATTAGACCAAATGAAACCTGCTGGAATGAGTTTGATTTATATTGCCTTCATCACTCTGGATTTAGATGAAATGGTTATTGCTCTCCACCCCTGCTGAAAGAAAAGAGCCTTAAACTTTAATAATCACCATGTTATGATGCAACCACAGAACTTATATGTTTGAAATATCTGTATTTCTCATCTTGCAACATACGTTCAAATGGAGATTCTTTTCCTAGTGACCTCCACTGCAAACTTTTAGCAGTGTTGTTCAATACTTGGTGTGCACAAAAATCTTTTGTAGTACCTGTAAAAATGCAGATCCCTTTACCGTAGCTCCAGAGAGAGTGATTCAGAAACTTCTAGCAGGGCCAAGGAATATGCATTTTGGCCCAGCATCTTTAATGATTTTGATGGGATGGTCTCTGGACCGTTAAGAAATTCTGTTGAGGGAACTATGCAGAGGTCTGTATTTTCTCACTTCCTTTCACTTTTATTTCCACTACAAAGAAGCCAAGGCTTACACTATTCATTATCTTAAGAGAAAAGGCCCAAAGAAAAGAATCCTAGGACTAGGGCAGAGTAGATTCCATGGTTCTTCTGCCCTTTCATCTGCCTGTCAACCACAGCACCTTTCCATTTTGTGCATATTTGTGTATTTTGTTTTTGTTTTGTTTTTTGCCAAACTGAAAGCCTGCATCAATATAGTTTTATGTCTTGGTTCTGAGGGTAGATGGGAGCACATCTCTGAGTGAGATGTATCCTTATGATACCCATCAAGGAAGGAAAAAAAGGTGAAGTTTCGCAAGGACAGTTGTTCGTTTCCAGGCCTTGTGCAGTCTGAGTCAGAGGAACTTGATAATGATCCATAATTTAATGGTGGTGTGTGTGGCCCCAAAGGCGGTCCCATTAACTGCAC